GTATGCATAGCTATTGCATACACTTCTATGCAGTACAAGCATAAGCAGTAACACAGATAAGTTTGTATGTGAATGAGGCATTCATATTGTCTTTTAGCGTATATGTTTTAGTTAATGAAATAATAATTTTAATGATTGAATAGACGATGGCGTTTTGTACAGAACTCGAGTTCAACAGCAATGCTATCATTACTTTTCACAACATTTGAAGCATTAGGGTATTTATTAATAATAATATTAATAATAAATTATTATTCAATGCTGTGATCAATGAACGTGATAATAGTTTTTATGATTTTGATTATAATAGGGATGCGATCGGATCGGTAGTCGGCGGGACATTAATGGAATATTCTAATTACTCATGGTCGTCGTTTCCCTTTTTTCTATTTCAATTATTTTTGGTAAATAATAATTGATTTTTGTATTTCATTAAATGTGAAACTTGTAATGATTTGATTAATAATTTTGACTCATGTTTTCATATGAATAGATAGTTATAATTGTGGTTTGTATGTGGCGTTCATTCAACAAGGGTGACCATGATCATGTGACAACTGAGCTTCAGCCGTTAGTGGTTGCAGCCACTCAATTAAGTTAATTAAATATATTAGGAATCAATAAATTCAATTTAATATTTAATCAAATAATGATATTTTTTATAAAGCACTATAAATATAATTTATTGTGTATTTAAAAACATATTTATATTTATATAAATAATTGAAATAAAACAAAAGTAAATTTTTTTATTGATTTTTGTATAACATCTTTTATAATATATTTTAAATATAATATTTAATTACTACTAATTTAATTTATAAATGAATTAATAAGAATTAGTAATCAATTAATGATTTATTTGTTATAATTTAAAAAAAATGTTTTAAAATAATTTACAACAATTTAAATTGTTAAAATAAAGTACCCTTATATTAAATAAACGGTTTATGAATGATAAACAAGTGTAAAAATGTTCTTTCAATGATTTTAATATAGCAATGTTTTGAAATTTGTTTAAAACATAAAAGTAACTTAACAAAACATTTTACTTGTATAGATGACTCTGTATAAAATCAATTACATTAAAATGTATGGTAAAACCACATGTTTATAATATATTTTTAAAACTTATATAAATATAAAAGCCTATATTTTAATTTTAGAAATAAAATAACTATGAATGATAAAACATTCCACAATAAAACATGTTTCATCTACATCCGTTTGTGTTATTTAAATGTGCTAGGTACTTTTAGACTTGGGTAAAATGAACAAAATGTGTGTTAAAGCTTGAATTAAATAATTAATTATCTGTTCAAACTAAAAGTACTGTACTTAAACTATTAATTACTAACATTTTGTTTGCTATTCAAACATATAATTTATTAATAGTACTGATATTCGAAGTGTTTTACAGTGATTATTAATAAATAAAAATAGTTTTACTTTAAATCAATATTTAATGTAAAAACTATTACATAATATATTTATTGAACTCTAAAATCGTGTACTAAATGCTTAAATTAAGTTTCGTATTAAAAAGACAATTAAGATATTTATTTCATTTAATATACAGAATAACATCTCGGTTTAAAAACATGGTTAAAAATAGTTTATCAAATAATAAAATTATTGATACTTATATTAATGATGTAAATAATAATACCAATGAATGTAAAATTAAGAAATTATTACATGAAAAGGGTATCAATAAATGTAAACCCAAAGGAAAACAATTGATTTTATTGATTGTGTTGTGTTTCGGGAGTGTATTGACGAGTACTGCGGCATCACTTGACGGACCATTTTTCCCATCAGTTGTATGTGAATTAATTTGATTTTTAATAGATTTAATTATTAACTATTCTAACTACTATTTATATGTTTTAAGTTAAAAATCGTATTTTTAAAATAGATTTTATTTATAATTAACAAATAACGTCCATGTTAATTTTATAATTTATTATACAAATTATATATTGGTGCTTTTAGGCACATTCACGTGGAATTGGTGAGACGTGGATTGGTGTAATAAATGGTATCATTAATTTGGGATTTATTGCTGGGTCAATTTTATCAAGGAAATTGGTACCAATTAAAAATTCAGTTGGGATCTTAATGAATCTATAATTATTTATCTCTTTATTGTTATTTTATTTATAGTTAACTAGATTTAAACCGAAATTAATACTGAAATCAACAGTGCTTATATTTGGATTATGTGTTATATTGTTTGGGTATTTATTACTTAAAATATTGTAAACATTTCTAATTGTAATTTAATAAAAATGTTTTTACATTAATCAAAGTTGCCTTCAATGGTGTTATTCGGCAAAGTATTTCATAACAATTGCTATATTCATACAAATCTTAATTGGTCTACAAATGGGCACATATTTTACCACTTGTTATACAATTATATGTTTGGAGTTTTCCGACAATATGTCTGACGTTTACGTATGTCTTGGATGTGACAATCATATTAGCTTATAGTGATTACATTATGGTATTTTGTTTTCATCAGGCTAAAATTGAAATTAATTTCTCCATTGGTTTAATTATTGGGCCTCCAATTGCCGGATTTTTGTATCAAGTTAGATTATACTTTATCATCATACATTATATTTTAATAATAAATAAAATTATAATTTTTAATTAATTTGATAAAGTTTGGCGACTCATATAGTGTGGGCTTTTGTACGCCTTTTTATGTGTTTGGATTGATCTCAATATTGACAGCAATTGTCATTCATTTTACAGTTCATACCGACAGTGAGTATCAGAATTATTTACATTGTTAAAAAAATTATTATAAATATTATTAATGATTATTGTGTACTAGAGTTATACAGAAATAGTAATAAAATAACATTTTGCCAACTTTTGGCCAACACTGGTGTCTCACTTAATGTCTTGCTTACGATTAATGCCGGCGCTCTCATCGGGTATAACACAACAACTTTGGACCTACACTTAAATTCAGTAAATTATTAACTTGAATAACTGAATGAATAAATGAGAAACTTAAATACTATTATTTAAATAATACTTGGTTTACAGATTATGGAGATATCCACCGGCGCTAAGGGTATGATTTTCTTAATATCTGGCCTATCCTTAGCTCTCTATAACAATGTATGGGAATATTTCGCTCATCGATGTAACAACTCGTTCAACATAAGCATAATCGGATGTGTGGCCACTATGACATGCCTGGCCATTATTGGACCCCTACCCATAATACCTATTGAACCGTAATTTGTATAACTATTTATTTAATTTATTTGTTTTAAAAAATTTAAGATTTTTAATTAGTAACTTAAGTTTGGTAATCGCAGCACAAATATTACTGGGTTCGGGTATAAGTGCTATACTGGTTGGCACAATAGCCCAGAGCACAAGGGAAACACGGTATGCATTTTCATTAGATATACAGTATAAATATTTAAATAACAATTAATACAACTTATTTATATGTAATAATCTTAATATATGGTTAAACAGAAGGGCCGGGTTTGTAGACAGTACCTCAACATCAGCTATACTCACATCCCTGTTAACTACAAGCGAGTCATTAGGGTAATGCGTTAATGAGCGTGTTTATTTTATGTAACCCAGGTGTCTTAAGCTTGTTTATAATTGTCTACATAACATAGTGATGCTTTAGGGCCAGTAATTGGTGGCACACTTATGGAGTCTTTAGG